TATATATTTATGCTTTGACTGCATGTCCTTCTCTCTATCTTCTAAACGGCGCCCGTCTTTAGGCTCTGCAGCTAAACCCTAAACCCTAAACCCTAAACCCTAAGCCCTGCAGAGCAAACCTAGAACCCGCAGCTTTCTATACTGGTGGTTGACTCCTACGCCACTTAGCCTCAACCAAAACCAACAAACCCTAAACCCTAAACCCTAAACCCTTGCCTTCAGAGAAAGTTGCTTCGGTTCCCTTCCTCCCTGCTGCCTGCGCTCACTCGCCGGCTGGAGGCTCCCTCATACAAATGTTTTACGCAGCTAGCTGTTTAGCTAGATAGCTCTTTAGCTAGCTAGCTAGCTAGCTAGCTAGCTGCGTAGCTAGTTATGTAGGTATCTGTTTAGCTAGCTGTACAGCTAGCTGGATACCTATCCTATAGCTAGCTGGACAGCTAGCTGTCTATTTGTGTAGCTAGCTGTGTAGCTAGCTGTTCGGCTAGTTAATTAGCTGTATGCTTTGCTAGCTGTGCAGCTAGCAGTTGCTGAGTGGTTAGCTAGCTAGCCAGCTAGCTATTCAGCTAGCTACCCAGGCAGGTAGCCAGCTACCCAGCTAGTAACGGACTTGGCTAGCTAGCCAGCTAGCCAGGTAGCTAGCCAGCTAGCCCGGTAGCTAGCCAGCTAGCCCGGTAGCTAGCCAGTTCAATAGCTAGCGCGCCAGCTAGATAGGTAGCTGGGTAGCTAGCCAGCTAGCCAGATAGGTAGATAGCTAGTTAGCTCACCAAATAGCTAGCTAGCTAGCTAGGTAGCTAGCTAGGTAGCTAGCTAGCTAGCTAGCTATTCGAAGAGGCCTTCTTGGGGTATCTTAGTCCAGGGTAAGAAGAGAGCAAGGAGAGGTTGAGGGCCCAGCAGCTGCTGCAGATTGTCTCGCCAGCCCTTGTTATAAGGCGAGAAGGAGACAGCAGACTTAGAGACAAACGCATGCAAGAAAAAAGCAAACAAACTGACAGACCCACCACCCTCTTCCTTCTTACGAGATGCAGGTCCCCGCCCAGTCAAGTGGTTCTGCAGCAGCAGCAGCAGCAGCAGCAGCAGCAAAAGATATATATGTATATATATAATATATTATATATAACAGATATATAGCAGTAGCAGCAGGAGAAGCAATAGATACAGCAGCAACAGCAACAGATACAGATACAGAGACAGCAACACTAGCAGCAGCAAACTGGAGCAACAGCCACAGCCGTTACAAAACCAGCAGCAGCAGCAACAGCAGCAACACCAGCTGCTGCAACACCACCAGCAGGGACAACAGCAGTAGCGGGAAA